CCATAGATTTCTTTCATGGACAACCATTTATTTCCCCCTGTTGCTCCATTTCTGTTTGTGACACAGTGAAAGCTTTTGCGGGTGGAGGTGTGGTTCCTTCTTTGCTTTCTCTCACGTCATGGAGCCCTCTCTGGGCTGTGACTTTGAGAGCATGGCTCCGTTGACCAATATCCTGCACCAGGGTCTCATTTTTAGGGTTAGTTTTTTTAGGAAAACAGCATCAACAACAACAACAACAACACACACACACACACACGAAACTTTCCTTTCTTCTGTCTTGGTGCCTAATTTATCTTTAATTTCTTAAGAAAACCTAAGGACAAAAGAGAGGGTGAGGTATTTGGGGATCTTAAACAATCAATGTCATTTATTATTGCCCATTGGGTGAAGCCACAGAGTCAAAGGTCTAATTGACAAGTGACTCTCAATTTTAGACCTAATTGATTCCTGGAGAGTCAGGACCAACTGGACCATTGAGAGTCAAACTCATTTTCTGTAAGCCCCATCTTACAAACTCCATCCCCTACCTGGAGTCCAATCTTACACCGTGAAAATCCCCACTGTAACCCCCGCTCTCCCCTAAAAAAAAACCCTAAATAAGAAACAGATATTTACTTTTAAAACATTTATAAGCCATATCAAAAGGAGTTTAATAAAAAATATTGTGACAATGCTTTATTGGGGGAATTCTTGGGTGCCTTTGATGGAAACGGACTGATGATGGCATCTTGAAATGTTGTTTCCATTAAGTCTGGAGTGAAATGACCTTTTCACGATAGATCTTTCTAGAACAGTGACTCTCCACTGGAGGCGACTTTGCCCCTCCAGGGGACATTTGGCAACTTCTGGAGACGTTTTTGGTGGTTACACTTGTTGGGTGTGCTGACCCTCTGGGGGGTAGAGGACAGGGGCCAGGCGGGGTGCTGCTAGCATTCTGCACAGCAGAGAAGGGTCCGACCCACATGTCAACGGTACTGCTGATTGAAACCCTGCTCTACAGCAAGCCACGGCACTCAGACTGAGTTAAATTCAGGTCTTTAAAAATATTTTTAAATTTTATTTTCAAAGGAAAACATAAAGGGTGAGTGGGAGAGTGGGTTGCCAACTAAATGTCCAAGACTTCTGGGAAAGCTTTCAGGGGTGTGTGATGGAGCTGGGGATGGGCGAGGAGGGCCGGAAGCTCGCCCTGATCAGGCCCACTGAGTCGCTCTCAGGAGCAGTGTTGCCGTGTTTCCAGTGTAGCTGCAGTTATAAATACAAGTTTCGGTTATTACTCTGTGAGTTTTATTTATGGGAAAAAAAAGTCATAAAAAGTGAGTGCGTGAGTCACAAATCAAGGCAGGTATTGCCGACACCCTGACATAATATACACGTTGCCTCATAGTTCTGTTTCTCCTGGATCTTTAAATTTCCTGTACAGATAGCATATTGAATTTTCATAAGCGCTACTGCATTTCTTGAAATTTATACTTGCTTCCCAGAAACCCGTAAAGAGCTTATTGTTTGTCGTGAAGAGGAGACCCAAAGCTTTCACACAAGCCGTGAATGAATGCTTAGAGATAATCTCTGATGGTAGTAATTTTTATTTCGAGCATTAAAAAGCATCAACATCTCAAAGTGCCAGCACCTTTAGCGATGCTCCCCTTCTCCCAGGAGAGGATGCCATGATAATCAGTCCTCCGAGAAGGTTCTGTCAGCTTTTGGATCCAAGAAGCTTTTTAATTGTCACTTTTCTTAGTGTTTGAAGTGTTAGAAATGGGTCTGAGTTTTTTTTTTTTTTAAATTCAATATTGAAATGACAACACTCATCCTAATTAACTGTGTATCTTGCACTGTATCTCTCTTTCCCGTTCCTCAGGAACACATAAACATACATTTGGAAATTTTACTCTATTCTATTTTAAAACTTTTGAAGCCAGGGGCCTTCCTCACATATGTGTGGGATAGTTAGAAAGGAGAGCAGGGAGTTGGTAGAGATGGACGGAGAAGGGAAGAGACAGAGTAAGTGTCTGGCCTGGGGGTCAGACTCTGTTGGAGCCTGGTCCTGGAGTCTGACTTCCCCATGGCAGGAGAGCCTGCAGGGAAGGAGTGGCTCCTGTGTCCTCTGCTGCCTTGTGACTTTGCCCTCCTGGGGACCTTTGGCACGTCTGGAGACATTTTGGGTGGTTACAACTTGTTGGGTGTGCGAGACAGCCGAGGCGATGTGCCAACCTGACCCTGCTGTGGGCCACTCAGGTTCGGGAAGATCCCTCTGAGTGGCTCTGTGAGGGTGTCACAGATGGGGGTGGCGTCTGAACTGGTCAACTGAGTCAAGTAGGTGGCCTTCCCCTCCGTGGGTGGGTATCAGCTGCTGAGGATGTGAACAGAGGAGCTGAGGAAGCAAGGCCTTCCCTCTTTCTTCTTGCCTCCTGTTGGGCTGAGAGGCTGGCCTTCTGCTGCCCCTAGACTGGGATTTACAATATGGCTCCCCGAGTTCTCAGGCCTTGAGATTTGGACTGAACGGCAGCAGCGGCTCTCCTGGGTCTCCAGCCTGCGGATGGCAGATGGTGGGACTCCACCACCGCGGGAGCCAGTTCCTCCTCTCTCTCTCTCTCTCTCTCTCTCTCTCTCTCTCTCTCTCCCTCCCTCTCTCTTATTGATTGTTTTTCTCTGGTAAAAGATTCAGGTGGCAGGTGTCTCTGTAGCACAACAGCCCCCCTCTGGGACCATTACTCTACTACAAATGCTACCAAAGTTCCTGGTACCTAACACGGATTCGATAAACGTGTGAGGAGAGGATGAACAAATAAAAGAATATCTTTTCTCTGAAAACACACGCGTGCGTGCATGCACATACACTTACACACACACCAACCCCAACCAGAAACCAGATCTCTTCCAGGAAGATGGGAAAACTTTTATCTTTTTAACCAGAGTCAGTGTTGGAATCTAGTACACAGCAGGTGCTCACTGAATGTAGATAAACAAAGGGGAACAAGAGACGTGTTTGTGTGGGTTTAAAGCCCAGTGCACAGTTTTTTTTTTTCATAATTCCTTGAGAGCCCGTGCAGTGGGGTATATTGTGGGTGTCACATGAGAGGAAAGGTACAGGCCCAGAGGGCCCTCATTTTGTGGGGTGTCTTACTGCTGACTGGCCAAGCAGGCTGAGGAAGCACAGGTCCCCAGGGCCAGCGGGGGCAGGACAGGCGCCAAGGCGCTACTGGGTAATTGCACTGATTACTAATGCTGCTAACATTTCTCTTGCTTAATAACCCACTCTTAATTTTACCCATGGCAGTCCTTAGTTCCCACAACACAGCAATAATTAAATCTGTGTTCAGATGGTTGTAAATGCACCCAGAGGTCTTCAGCGATGGGTGAATTATGCTCATTTAAGTTAGAACATAATGCTAGCATCCAGCCATCTCAGAAGAAATACTAATTACTGGTGTTCCTCCAAGCTCCACTGGATTCCGTTAGTTCCCACCGCTATTTCCTGGCTGACATGCTAGACAAGATTCAGGTGGCAGGTGTCTGCCTCAGTAGCGCAACAGCCCCTCCTCTGGGACCACTACCTGGGGTGCGGCTCCTCTAACACAGAACCAGCCTTCCTCTTTGGACATTCCAGAAATCTGTTCTTTTAGGAAACGAGGAAGAAAGAGGAAGTCGAGCACAGGAGAGGCCTGGGGGCAGTTCCAGTGGCAGGCTGACCCGGGGCTGGGAGCTGGGGTTTTGTCCTTGCTTCTCAATGGCCCCAGGGGTGTGAAGGAGCTGGTTGGTGCCCGGAAAAAATCAGGAAGGATGAACTCTTTCTTTGTTTCTTTTTCTTTTCTTTTTTTCTTTTTGGTTTATTTACAGGGCTGGGGTTTGCCTCCTTCTTTGGAATACTCACCATTTCTCCATTTTAACAAGGAACCCGGAGAAAGGCCTTTATCGCCTTGGGATCCAGGTATGGCCTGTCCTGACCATCCGTGGGGGGCCTGCCCTACTCTCCCTCACATGGCCCCAGGGACCTGCCCCTGGCCCCACTTCCAAGGGCCAGGCCACTTCAGCCCCCCAAGTCCACCTTTCCCTCTTGGATGCTCTCCACTGTCCTAAGACCTGGCCAGGTTGCCTCCCCAGGCAGGCTCCTCAGCACCCTCTCCACGCCAGCAGGGGAGGGGCCCTTCTGGATTCGCCACACTTGGCCAACCTGCGGCCGCCCAGGCCAGGCAACACTTCCTGACCACAGGCTTGTGGACATGTCCTAGAGACAGCTTCCTCCCTCACCCCCCTGGCTGGGGCCTAACCTGCTGCAACCTGAGGGTAGAGCTGATCTTACACCATGCACCAGAAGCGAGGGAAAAGAAAAATGTTTTCCCAAGTCGGAGAGGAGTTGGTCACAGAGCCACCATCAGAGTGGCTCCTGGTGAACGAGCTCCGTCAGAGTGCCGAGGCCCGCGGTGCAGGGCGCTGAGCCGAGGGTGGGCAGGCTGAGCACGCTGGGTCTGTCTAATATTCTCGGCTGGTACCCGTAGGTGGCACTAGAGATTTGGAGATCCGGCTGGCACTGGGCACTCGAGGGAGAAGGCAGGAGGGAGCTGGACCGTGAGTCACTTCACTGTGATGGATCAAGGACTCAAAACCACAGACAGAGGAGATGAGATGGTGATTCTGGGGCCAAAGAGGCTGCCACCTGCCAGGGACCTTTTTCTGATGGAAAAAGCCAAGGGTGGGATGAAAGCTGATAGGAGATGGAGAAAAGGGGGCGGGAGAGAGAGGGAGGGAAGAGGAGAGAGAGGAGGGAGGAGGAAGGGTGTTGGAAAGGACGAGGGGACAGGGAGGCCATTGCAGAACACAGGAGCCGGAGCGGGAAGAGGGGGAAAGGGCGGCAGGGCAGAGGGTGCCGGCCCCAGGCTGATGCAGAGGGGGTGTCTGGGCGGAAGTGGGCTGGCAGATGCCCAGGAGGAGAGGTGCAGGCCCTGGGAGGGCGATGGGTCATTAGGGCGGGCACGCGGGACTCAGAACATGCACGCTCACCATTCCTTCAGGATCTTTTATTAACGTATAGAAAATGTGTTTAAAAAAGGAACTATACAGAGGCTAAAAGCAACCAGGACTAAAAATACTAGTTAACAATGGTTAACAAGCAGACTCCAGGCTTTGAGCTACGGTGCCATGAAGGACAGGGCCATGGTTCTCCCCCGGCCCCCTCCGTGGGTTCTGATTTTAGTTTATTGAGGTGTGCGGCGCCGGGGAGGATGCACTCCGTTATTGTCTTTCTTTTTCCTTCGTCCCAGTCTTTAAGTAAGTGCTTTTTCAAGTACATTGTAGCTACAAAGTCGGTCTTTGTTATTTTTACCTGAAAAGGCTGTTAAAGGTTAAAAATGACAAACTCAAAATCAGAAGGACTGGAGGACTTGGTGTTCATGAGTTCTCAGAGCGACAATCTAGAGATGCCCAGGGTGGGTTCATCTGCCCGGAGCCCCTCAAAGTCACTGTGGCTTGGGTAGGGCCCCTGGGAATGCCTGTGGGCCTGGCAGCTGTTTGAGTTGGAATAATTGGATGTGCGTGTGTGAACGGTGTGTGTGTGTGTGTGGGAGGGAGCCTGGGTGTTCAGAACCCGGGTGTGCAGATTCCGACCCTGGGGTCTGAGGGCCTCGGGGTGCCTCTACTGGTGGGGAATGGGCTGGTCCTTGGTTGACGGTGTCTTTGCAGGAAACACAGTGGGAAAGCAACAGCCGTGGCTGTCACTGCCACCCAAGCTCCCGGCTGGGGCCACAGGACAGGGAACAGATCTCCCTCCGGAAGATCTGTTCCTTTTTATTTCCACATCATTCAGCTAAGGGAAAGGGGTTCCGTCTGGAGTTGTGGCCTGGCAGCTGAAACCACGAGGTGCAAAGCCCTGCTTTCTTTCTAATTTCCCCCAAGGTAGCAAAGGAGCCGAGATGGTAGCCAACTGCTGTCTGAGGCTCCCCACCCCCTGGGGACACGAGGCAGGTAAGGAATGGAGACAGAGACCAGGGGATAAATAAAATTAATGGATTTCCTACCTTCTTCTACACTCATTTCACCAAAAATGTCTTCTGCGGTGCTCCCCTGGGGGCTCCTGAAGGTGTTGGTACCCCTGGGAGTCAGGGGGGAGCTAATCCCAGTCTATCTGCAAGTTGCTGATCTTGGTCCAAAACACTCGTGAGCTTTCTGCCCTGGCTATTGTTTGCCCTGGTTTGAATGCATTCATCGTCTAAACCTTTCTCCCAAATTCCAGAGTCAAACTGATGCTCCAGGAACAGGTGCGGTGTTCAGTCTGGGTTCTTCCGCCCTGCCACCCCGTCTGCTCCAGCTTGAGAAGAGTGGCTCTGGAATGCCCCCCTCTTCCGATGCTGGGAGAGGAAGAGGCCACTGTGCTGCCCAAAGGGTGGGGTGGGGGAGGAGTTCGTGTCCTGGTCCTGACCTTCTCCGCCAAGCCTGCTGTGGACCCTCTCCCCCTGCCCCGTGAAGAAGAAGAGCGTTGCCATATGTTTCTCCCCTCTCCCACGCTGGGAGCCCTGGAACGTGTGTCAAGAACCAACGCAAGAATCGCCTTTTCTTAAAAGAAAGAGACAGGCAGTGGCCTCAGAAGCATCTCTGCAAGAGCATTAGTAAAGCCCAGGTAGCGGCCGCTTGGCTGAATGTGTATGAAAGGCAGCAGCTTCACGAGGGAGAGAACCCAGGGCTTTCCTGTAGATGAGGAGGCTCTGACCGGGCTGTCCTGGTGGCTGTGTGACTTGGGACATGCCATTTAACCTCCCTGTCCTCCTTTCCCTGTCTGTAAAATGCTGAGATCTGACCCGGGGTGTGGTGAGGACCTAATAGAGTAACGTCTGCAAAGGTCTTCGCACAGCGTCTGGGAAACGTAGGTGTGTGATAAAGACCATTTTCCCAATCTTCATTTGAGGAGAGACAGATTAATAAAAGTCTGCATTGCTTGACCTCAGCCTGGTTACTAATCGGCTGAGACACTCGGGTCAGTGGCCTAACCTGCCTTGGCCTCAGTTTACTTGAGTGTAAAAAGAGAGGATTTGGTTAGGGGATCTCCAGAAACCCCTCTGGCTCTGAATGTGCGTTTCCAATGTGGGTCTAGAAGGCAGGGTGGAGTGCGTGAGTGTTGGAGTGCAAGATGGCAAAAAGCAGGCCTGGTTTCCCTGGAGATGCTACAACAGTCACCGGAAGACCATCTAGTGTTCTCCTGGCCACACATCTGAATCCACACCCCTCTCTGGGGCTCAGGTGCTCCAGGCTTCCTGGGCGTGTGAAGGACCTTGCACTTCCCCACCCAAGACCGTGGTGCCAGAGAGCCCGTGCTAGTGCCTGGGAGGGCCGGCTCGATGAGGATGCAAGGGTTCAACGCTTCTGAACTGGAAATTCAGCGTTAGCCAGGCTCACCGCCCAGACAATCAGGAGCTGTTCTATTAAGTTAATACGGGGGCCAAGTTTGCCTGAGAAACAAGAGCTGTGCTCTTTGGGTTCTCTGCCTGGAGAAGGAGGGAGGATTTCCTGTTTGGAGAAAATGCAACACTGTCCAAAGACTGTGAGGTTTGCCAAGGACATTTGGACAATGAAGTGCTGCAGGTGTGATGAAGTCATGTTTCAGGCAGGGAGTGACCTTGAAAAATAAATCGGCAATGCTGGAGATGGAGTCCAGGCGGTGACTGCTGGGGGAGGAAAAGTGAGGTCCAGGCAGGACGGGCCCAGCCAGCAGACAAGGCCTTTTCCCGTGCTCTGGGCGCAAGGCCTCAGGTGCCTTGGTTCTTCCTCAGGTGAGGTGGGTGACTGAGGAGATCTGCTTGGAGACGGGAGGCCAGAACTGGGGAAGGTAACGCTGGCACCTTTGTCATGGCCACTCAGGCCTGGTCTCTGCATTTTTAATGTGGGGCCATCTGGAGAAGTCTTAATTTTAATCTCCAATGATCTATCTGCTTCTTTTATTAGATTTTTAATTTTTCCTTCTTCCTAGCTGTTCCTCAGAGCTCAAAAAAAAAAGTACAGAACTGGCTTAAATAAATCCAGTGTTAGATACGGTTCGAATGAGCTGGGTTTTTCCAATTCAACCTGAATCCACACCAACATTCACTCTTAAAGGATCCTAGACTTGTTTTCCCCATGTGATTTGGAAGTTTTTATTTGGACTGCGAGTTCTCATTTGGCCCAGTTGTATCCAAAGTCCCAAGTATTATCTGAGGGAAACCTTATTACAGATATGAGAAGCTGAGTTATGGGAGAAGCAAAGGTTTGGGGAAGCAATCAGCCAAAGATCTTCAGAAATGCTCTCAAAGGACCTGCAATGCAGCCAGAGAGAGGCGACATGCCACTCCAGCCCCAAAGGCTAGTTCCTGCCGGTCCCCTAGCCTGGAAGGAAGTGGACCACTCTGGGATCTTAGGTGAAGATGCAGCTCCAGCTTCATAGATCCATCCCCGGCCTCCAAAGTCCCCAAGACCCCTCTTGTAATCTTGATCACTGTAAAGCAAGCAAAAACAAACTCTCCACCTCCTGTGGTTAGTGAAATCGAACTAGTTTGAGTCTTTCCGTGTCTTTTTCAAAGTTTTAAGAGTCGATGGTGAGATGCAAATAGAGACGGAAGGTGAGCCCCTTCCCCTGCTTTGAAGGGAAAGAAATGGAACAAAGGAGTTTGATTGAACAGGAGTCTGGTGACAAGAAAGTAAGTAGAAAATCATATGGCTCCAGCTTTCCTGAAATTCTGGGTGGAAGGAAGGAAAAGAAAGAAAGAAAGAAAGAACTGTCCATGCCCCATGTCCAGGCCACCCGCCAGTCTTTCAAGCCCCTCAGCTTGGTGCATCCGGTGTTCCCACAGGTTCCAGTTTTCTTTTTCTTGAGAAAAGGACCAAGAGGAGCTCCTAAATGCTTTCTCAACGGATGGTTTAAAAACAGCTTTTGAAAAGATCCTATAATGACCTTCTGTCCCGTCATCTGTAACTCTGTTCTGGAACTAGATTTGAAGAATAAAAACGTGTTTAGGTTGTTGGGGTGAGAACTGAGCTCATCGGCAACCTCGAGTCTTCGTGTCTGTCTCGGAAACAGCGGTTTCCAGCCTGCAGAGAGCTGGCTGGTGGAAGGAAGCAGTGTCCCGTCACTTGAGGGCTGGAGTCGGTGAGGGGCAGGGTGGGATTGTCTGTAGAAGCGTGTTCTCCATTCCTCGGCTCCCATTTGGTGGTTGTGCTTTTACAAATCAACCTTCACTACAAATCAGCCCTGGGTGCCTGGTGGCTCTGAGTTCTGGAAACCAGGGGGACCCTGGGGTCCTCAGTCTGCAGAGAGCTCCTCTGGGGTTACAGGAGGTGGCTAGGTGTCCCAAGCACCACCTTGTGGACACTCTCAGCGAGGCCCCTCCCTTCCACAGGTTCATCTCCCTGATGAAGGTGAAGATAACCTCTTCACGTTCCAGCAGCAACCCTGGACAATGTCAGTTCAACACGTGGAAACCATATCTTTATGCTCCAGCTCTGGGTGGGGGTCCTCTGCAGCCACGGGAGCTGCTCTTGGTTTTTGTGGGGTGGCAAAGGAGTCGCGTTGTGTCTCGGGTTAGACTGCTTTCCCGGCAGGGTCTAATGCCATTCCTTCTGAATCCTGTGGAAGCTGCAGGCTGCTGCGGGGCTTCCTGTGTCCCTCTCTGGGAGAATCACAGGTGCTTAGAGGAACAGGATGCTGAGGAATGAATCTTAAGCAGCTCCGAAGCCGCTTCTTCGTAAGAAGCTTAGAAAGAAGGGAAGTGAGTGGAGTGAAGAAGGTCTGAGTCAAGCTGACCACAGGTCTCAGGACGACAGCGGAGCACAGTCCCCTAAAAAATGGTTAAAACTCCTGAGGAGATCACTCTCCTGAACAAAAGGAATTTATCAACCCTTTTATAGAGGGTTGGCTGAGCTGATCTTTGAAGTCCCTTTCTTGCTTTAACATTCTTTAAAATGAATCTAGGTAATGTTGCCAGGGCTATTTATAAAAACGTTCCACAGTGCAAAATGGTTCCGGCGAAAGGCAGGTCTTGGTTTCCACAGACGTCTCTTGGCGTCCCCTGGACTAACGGCACACACTCTGGTTCCGGTCCAGCTCCCTTGATGAGGTGGGCTGCACCGGCACACCCAGTTCCCGGCTCGGCTCGCAGACACAGTCCAGCCTTTTCCTTGGCACCGTCTTCTCTGCAGCGTGTGTGTGTGCGTGTGTGTGTGTGTGTGTGTGTGCGTGTGTGTGTGTGTGTATGCACGTGACTTCTGACTTCTGAATCCATCCCCCTTCCTCCCTCCCTCCCTCTGTCCCTGTCTTCCTTCTTTCTGCCCTGCCCTCCCCCACAGGGCTCTGGCAGATTTCTATGACCTCACTGCTCTCATCAATCTCATGGATTTGCACTATTGACTGTGCAAATTGAAAGAGAAGTTGAATTTTTTTCTAGTCTCTCATTCAACAGTCAAGGAAACTGAGGCCCAGAGACGTGAAACATCCTGCCCAAAGTCGTGCGGCTGGCGACACGGCAAAGGAAGACCTGTCCCTTAGCTCCTGAGCTCTGTATCCAGTATGCCTCCCTCTCTCTGTGGTCGTCCTGCTCAGGCTGAATCTTATTAAATCGACACATTTATCTTGTTCCTTCTCTTCGTTTTGAACTGAGAAATGAAAACACCACCTACATTTTTTGGCCCCAGGTATGTCAACCCTGTCCACAGCCCAGTAGGGGACAAAGCCTTGTTGGAGCCCACAAAAGGGAGAGGCGACAGTAAATGTCAGGCTGACTTCATCCTCCTGACGCCAGAAGGGACTGTCCCTTCAGGATCACCAAAGCATGGTCAGAGTGTGGACATGGAGGCGCTGGCCAAGGTACACAACGCCCGTGTTTGACAAAGTGGCCCTGCCCAGGACAGAAGGGGGACCTAAGGAAGGGGAGAGGAAAGGCGGAAGGCAGCCCTGGATGGGACACAGACTTGGGAGGGAAGGTGGCAGCTGGCATTGGATGTCGAGGGGAAGTTGAGAGGCCACGGCTTCCAGCGCCTCCAGTTCTCTGGGGTGAAAACTGGTGGAGGCAGCCCCTCTCATCCCAGAAACAGGCCCGTTCCGCCCTTCCCCCCTTGAGATTTCTAAATGCTATCTCCTCCGGACCCTTCATTTACAACAAGGAAGATGGAGAAAGACTTCCCATGATCTCAACTCACTCAGGGGTCATTTCTGTTTCCCACAGGAAGAACATAAAATGAAGTTAAGTAAAATAAAACCTCCTAAACAAACATTCTGTCGCCTCCCGGGACTCCCGCCAGGGGATGAACGGCTGACGGGTCTTATAACGTCTTTTCCTGACTCTTATTAAGTCACCTGTACCAAGGAGAGCTTGGCAGAAGACAGAAGTCAGGCCTTCTGTTGGCAAGTTTTCAAACATGTCCGTGATAACTCAGACTGGAAATGGAGAAAGTGAGCTGGGCATAGGCCGTGTTTCCCGCTGAACCTGTCGTCTCCAGATGCCAGACCCAGACTGCAGGAAACAAAGCCACCTCTCCTTCCTGCCACCAGGCATCTGTAGATTGGCTGCCCTGAGCTGGGGACAGTGGCTTGAGACTCCTGGGGACACAGCCACCACACCACCCAGGGCCAGGAGTGGGCAACGCCTTGGGAACTGATTCCAGATGAGCGGTGGGGTGGGTGGGACCTTGGGGTCTCGGGGGACGGCAGGTAGGGAAAGGGCTAAGCAGCTGGGAAGAGGCCGCAGCGCTTAAAAAGTAAGAGTGGCAGAGAGGACGGCCTTGCGCCCATTCTGAAGGACTCCGGCCCTCGGGTCAGGGTGTGGCGGGTTTCTGCCCTCGGAAGGGGATTGTTGGCCAAGCTCCCTGGCGGAGGCTGCTTCTCTGGGCCGGTGGAAGGCCATGGCCAGACCAAGGCTACCTGGAAGGTAGAGGCATCTCAGGAGCAGGGTCGAACAAGAAGGCCCGCGTCCCTGCAGCCACCTGCACTCCACGAGGGGCCTTCAGAGTGTCTTTCAAGCAAACTTCCCACGTTTCCTCCTTGTTGGGAGAGGAGGGGAAGGTCGGGGACGACTGGTGAGGAGGGCCAGTGCAGACGGAGCTGGGGTCAGGCTCCAAGGCAGCAGAAACTAGGAGCGGTGGCAGTCACTGATTCCTGCTCACCCCGCTTCCTCCAAGTACTCTGAATATGTCGCAAAGCACATCATTATGACCCTCCCCCCTTGTGGCATATTACAAAATACAAACAAATGACAGGAAGATCAACCGTCCCCTGTTTAGAACCGCAGGGCCCGCCGCTTCCTCCCCGCGGTGAGACGGTGGTTGTAGGGCCGCATCTTCATTTCCACGAAGGGGATGGAGAACTCGTGGCCTTTCCAGTGGTACCAGTTGATCCCCTGGGCGTGCGGAAGAGAAGCATGTCAGGTCTCCCTTCCCTTGATGAAAAGAAGGGGGTACAGGGGCCCACGTTGTGGATCTAGCTGTAGCTTTGTGGCTGAGTTGCCAATAAAGCCAGAGCGGACCCTCTGTCCACTTTCCCTTTCTACCTGCCGGTGACCTGGCCTTCCCTGGGAACAGGTTGCAGGTGATTCCTTATCGCCGGCTTGACATTCTGGCTTTCAGGAGCTGCCTGCATGAGTCGATGGTGGTGAATTTTAAAATCCTGAGAGTGTGCAGGCATTTTGAAGAGAGTAGCAGACTGCTCCCTCCTGAAGGGAGGCTGGGGCTTTCCACCTGGGATGGCTCACCATCTGGGTTTGCCAGGAACCAAGGGGTTTCCTTCCGTGTGGCCTCTCAGTGTCCACCTGGGAAGTCCTAGCTGGCTCAGCTGTCCCCCCTACCCAGCTCCGTCAGGGCGTACGCAGTCTTTGGCGGAAACACCAGCTTACTCTGGTATTTCTGGTCTCTCCCTTCCTGGGTCTCCTCTTAGGATGCAGTTGAGCCGTGAAGTCGTCCCTGGAGCTGACAAGCTCCCTCCACGAGGAAGTGGAGTGGGAGCCGTCTGCTGCTCAGGCCTCTGGGGGTGCCGCTCGTGGGTGTGGGTTCCCTCCTCCCCCGGCTCCTGCCCTGCCTGTCTCTACCCCACTCGGCGTTACTGTTCTCTTTATGGCCGTTCTCTCTCAAGACCCTTCCGTGTCTCTTTTTCATCAGGAAACGCTGGGCTCGCATGGGCATTTAAGACAGAGCTGAGGGCCGGGGGTCCCAGGCTCTGGGCCACCTCCCACCACGGCGGAGCAGTACCCACCTGACTGTGCCTGGACTCCCCGTACTTCCCGTTGAGGTTGGTCCGGTGGCAGTTCTTATACCACCAGGCTCCCTTGTAGGACATGGCGCAGTTGGTGACTGCCACGTCATTGTCGCGGTCCTCTGTGGAGAAGGGGCGGCCCTGGTGATAGCTGAGGGAGTCCCCTGCAAGGAAGAACACCACGAGGCTGTCCCACTTGTCTCTCTCGACAGTGGACAGGGACATCTGACCCGCTCCCAGGAGAGCTGGCCCCCACCTGTGGAACCCCCATGTACCTTCTGCTCCGTCCCTCCCCTGGCTTGGCTAAGCTCACCCCGTCACTTGACCCCAGGGTGGCGACTTCTGTGCTGCCCTCTCCAGCCCATTTCCTCGTCCCCTGGCCTTTTGCTGAGAACTCCATCCACACGACGACCCCTCTCCACACCCGTCTGCTTCCTCCAGGCACAGGGACACTGCAGTGATGAGCCATGCTGACTGGACCTTTCTGGGTGTTCCTTGTGTAGGTTCAGCCTGGCTTTTGCCAGACACCAGCCCTGATCAGACCACGCCCCAAACCCATGTTCAGAACTTGGTGCTGCAAGAACTTGGACGTTAGCAAACCAGAGCTGCAGCTACAGGAAACAGGGGGATGGAAAAACCAGGACTGTGTCAAAGGACAGGTGGGTGGGGCCAGGGGCTGTATCTTGGGAATGGCAGGCTCAAGAGGGAGACGGGTCCACGATCACCTTTGTCAAATATCTGACAGATTATTGAGAAAAATAAACATTCAATAGTTTTGTGAGGAAGTACATGGACTAAAGAGGCATGTTTGGCTGACCATAGGGGAGAAATTCTCTAATATCTGAGCTGTTCACAAGATCTTAGAGCTGTGGTGAGATTTCTATTCTCAGGTGCACGGGGGCTGGGTGAGCTCTTGTTGGGGACATGGTGCAGGGGGCTTACGTGAATGGAAGGTTTGAGGGAGGGGGTCAGATTGTCATTGGTGTGTAATGGTTGGGAGGATTTGGAGGAGGATTTGTGGCTGGGCTGTTGAGAGGGGGACTCATGCTGTTGATGGAGTGAAAATGACCTTAGCTGCATCCAGAGCTGATTTTTGCTGTGAGGCTGGGTTCTGATCCTGTGGCTTCTGAGTTGTGCCCACAGGGGCTGCTCACTGCCCCCAGAGCATCCCACCACAGCCGGGCTCCTGGCCAGTGGATCTTCGTTTTACAGGGAAGCTGACCTCAGGGGCCGGGGGAGTCCCTAAAGCCACATGTCATTTTCTCTATTCTGTCCACTTCAGCATCTCCAAGGGTTTATATTTGTTTATGTATTTTATTTGTTTGTTTTTTTGCAATGCTGGGTATTGAAGCCAGGACTTTGTGCATGCTGGGCAAGTACTTCACTACTGGGCCATACTTCTAGCCTCACCTGGAGCTAATCCCACCCCCTATAACTTTATTCTTTGTCATCTCTTCCCAATCCTGGAAAAGGCAGAAAAGTCTTCTTCCTTTTTTTCCTTCTTTTTTTTTTTTTTTTTTTTTTTTTAGTATTTCTCATGTCCTCTTTTCCTAAGTCACACTCATGTCCTTTGTCTTAAACATGCTTGGGCCAATCCTCCTGTCCTGTGACTCTTTCTTTAGTGCTGTCTTCGCTTTGTGCCTCCACCCTTGTCACCATCTTAGCCTGATTATCCCTCTGCAGCCTAGAAGTCACCCGTTACTCCCCTGCCATACTCTCCAGTGTGTGCTCTGCTGCTGCCTGTCCCTCTCTTAGACGTGCTCCTGACGTTGGTCTTTACGTCCTCCACAAATCTGCCTCCTCTCCCCGTTTCTGCCTCACACATCATCTCACGTGTCTTGGCGCCCCTCTCCTGACCCACTGTTAGAGGGACACCTTTCTCTCAGCCCCAACATCAGCAGGCCTCCCATCGCCTCCTGTGAATTAGGTTTTGTGCAGCAGCCACTAGTGACTCTCTGGTTTTTGCTCAGATTTCCCTTATCCTGTGTAGGGCTCATCCAGTGACCTTCCCAGAGCCACACTGCTGTCACGCCTTCAGGACTCACAGGGGCTCCCCGCTGGCCACAGGCTAAGACTCCATCTGCTCCTTCAGGGTAGGGGTGGTGGAGGCTCAGCTCCCCTCCTTCACCAGTTTCTTTCTATTCCTTATGAACTTGGCTCTGCCCCGTGGCCCACCGCAGCCTCCCCCTCCACGTTGGCTTCTCATCCAGGGGTGTTTCCTGACCCTGGACAACCCCTTCAAATGCAGCAGCCTTGTCAGAAGCCTTCCTCAACTGCCTCTCTGAGCCCCCCTTAAATAGGAAGGGGCGCCCTTCACGGTGTGGTGAGTAACTTCCTAGTTGTTTCTTTTTTAGTTTAGTTCTTGTGGAGGCCACGTCCTATGCTTCCTTTGAGTCTCTGCAACGGGCACAGTCAACGTTTAGGAGTTGTGCAACACCTTCTTATGGATTCACGTGGAATCTGGAATCCTCCGTTCTTACCCAAGTAGAGCCCCACCTAGAGACTGGTAAGTTAGTACCTTGAGCAAAGGGCTGAACTTGGAGCCTCAGCACAGCTTGTTGCCGGAAGGACCAGTAGAATCCAGCAACATCAAGGGGACCCAGCAATATCAGACATGCCAGAAAGAAGGGGCGGGGCCTCTCCTCCTGGAAAGCTGCTTGGTCCAGGAGGGACCTGCCTGTGGAGCTGCCTAGATGGAGCAGTTGCAGCGAGCCAGGATTTCCTCTTTGCAAGGCAAAGAATGAATCATATTCAATTCACAACAACAAGCAGAGCCATGACAGGATTTGCCTCTGACACAGGAGAGTCGGAGGGAATCCACCTGTTCTGTCCCGGGAGACAGCAGGGAGACAAGGCTGGCCAGAGGCAGCAGGGGCTGTGCCCCAGCTAGACAGGTGAAGCCCAGGCTTGCAGAAGAGGAGCGAGGAAGGGGGCACAGGCACAGAAGTGGAAGGGCTTGCCATTCTTCCTCCAGGGGAACTAGAATGGCTTTCCTACAGGCACACCTCTAATCCTAGGGTGTGAACAGCATCTGGTTATTTTTGAAATGATTTTGTCTGACATTTTGTTTGATATGTCCATTTCAATGGCTATTTTATGCTCAAATTGTGGCAAATCAGACCTTTGGCTGGGCTTGTCTGACAGCCATTGCGAATGATCTCAGATATGAGCAGGAACAAAAGAAAGTGCGTCTTCTCTTTGGAGTTATAATACCTGGCTGAAGACAGAAGTAATTGAGCCCATGCAGTAATTGGAAGGGCAACGCCTTGATGCTCTTCTTAATTCTAAGAGGCATAAAAAATGTTGCTAAAATTAAACACACCAACGCTTAGCCCTGAAATTGGAGTTAATGAGAGCCAGTAACTCCCTGTCCCAGACAGTAGAATATCTGGCACGACAGTCTTTATGAAATATGTTATAACAGGAAATAAGGAACAGACCGGCAGAGCCTGAGGAGCAGACTGATGCTGTGTCTTGATCGAACTATTAATGCCACAGAGCTCCCGGAGCGGGTCTGTCTGCTTGGTAGAAATGCCATAAAAATCTACCCGGAAAACCCGAAGGTGCATGTGGCTCTCTTGGAGGAAGGAAAGCAATGTTCATGGCCAACGAGGAACACTTAGGGACCGTCCTTCACTCCTTCACGGGATGAGAGGGCATCTCAGGGATTGAGGGGATCTGTATTAATTTCATTCCTCAAAGATTGTCTTAGGTCACTGCAGGGGACATCCTGCCCAGGTGAGAGCTGCTTCCGCTGTCTCTGGGTAAGATCCACACAGGCTAACCTAGCTAAGGAGAGCAAGCCTTCCCTCTCACACTGCACTTCTCAACTAAAAACTTTGTAAAGGCACTTTCATGACATTTACTGATTTTTTTTTTCTGTCTACACTATGAAGTAGGATGGACATCTTATGATTTTCCAGGTGAGGAAACCAAAGTCCTGATAAATTGGTTGCAGGTCACAGAGGGGCCAGGGCTGGGACCAGAGCCAGCGACTCTCGTGGTCCAGCCGTCCTCCCTGGCTACAGAGAGCTCTGTGGGTGGTGCTCCTCCCCCATGCGGCTCAGGTCTAGGTCATTGGGGCCTTCCTGCTGCATGCCCAGCGCCCCTGGGGCCACAGGTACCTGCAGTGCCATTGTAGCTTCCGATGCGGAGTTTGTACAGGCTCCTGCCGTCCTCCACGGAGAACTTGTCGTAGTACGCAAAGGCCGCCTCCTGTCCGTCTCGCATATCCACACGCAGCTCGTAGCGGCCCTGGGACGTGATCCTGTGTATGTTGTCCAGCCCTGTGCAGAAGAGCAGAGAGTGCACTGAGCCGGGCCTCAGGCAGCTTGGGAAGTGGAAGGGAAATGTGACTTTGACCTTGACACAGATGGTACAGGGAAGACAAGGGCATCCAGGTTGCTTTTGCCCTCAGCGCTTCTCGAGCTGTTATCCAATAGTCCCTGCTGGATTACTTTTCCTGTAAAGAGGCCAGCCCAATGCTGCTGACGAGGGCCACCAGGCAGCACAGGGTGCTGACCCCCCGTGCTGACCCTATAACTGACACACCCGAAGCCTCAGGACTCCTGGCCTGTCCCTTGCCCTCTTCTATGCCAAGTCATGGAATGGAAAGAAAAGGACAGGCAGCATCGCAGGGCGGGAAGCCTGTGGCATAGGCGGCAGGAAGCAGGAGGTAGCATCGCTCATCAGAGGAATTCTGGAGCGTCCCAGGGTTCCCAACGTCCTCATGTGTCCTGTAGTCTGCAGAAGGGGCTCTATCCATCTTTCATCACACTGGCCCTTCTCTGTCTGCCTCCAGGCCTCCGGGGATCACCAGACCCAGGTCAGGGAGTACAGGCAGTACCTGACTTAACAGTGACTCATCTTACCATCTCCTGACTCTACAGTGGGGTGAACGTGGTATGCATCCAGTGGAAACTGTGCTTTGGGTTTGGGTCTCTGGCTGGGCTAATGCTCTGCTGTGAGTATTCTCTCTCTTTCGACACTGGGCCACAGTGCTCAGCTGCCACCAGCTGATCCCAATGGGAAATGATTTGTGCTCTACTCTGTACTGTGTTGTTAAGCTGGGGTGTTGGGTATAGCAGATGCATTTCCCACTGGACAATATTTTCAACTCATGATGAATTTATCTGGATTTAACCCCCATCATAAGTTCAGGAGCATCTGTCTTGCTCTCTGTCTCTGTTCCCTTTTCTACTCTACCTGCTATATCTTGCACGGCTGCCTCTTTGCTGGTCTCCTGGCCAGTTTCCCCCCATCACATGCTATCTCCTTGGCCTCTAAGTACTCCAGACCTTGGGCTCATGTATTCTTGGAAGGTGCAAAGCCCTGCAAGCTCAGAGCTTGGGTGGAGTCCAGGTCCCACATGGTGATATCTTCTCATAGATACTTTCTTGCCCACTTGCCCCGGGATGGTCTGATTTTGACCTCTCTGCCGGAATATTTGATGCCTTGCCCTGCCTTGCTGGTGACCTCCGAGTTCTGATTTCTATCTGCGAACTGAACTGGGCTCTTCTTGCTTTGCTGGGACATCTGATAGCTATCTGAGTGTGCCATGATTTAGAATCAAAGAATTGCCTCGGTGGAGGGAATCAGAGCTTACTCCAGCCGACCTCTTTGTTTTGTGGAAGGGAAAGCTTAAGTCCAGAGAGGTGAAATGATTGACTGCAGGTCACCCACATCTTTTGGCTTCTTTATCCTGTTTGGGATTTAAAGCTTTACATCGATTGCAAGTGGGAGGCTCTTTGACTGGTGTTTGCTGAGTCACTGACCCACAGTCCCCAAATAAACTTTTCCTCCCTTAAAATAGTTCTGGTCACATCTTTAACCACAGCAGCTAAAAAGCTGACTCAAACAGGCATGAAATAACCTTGACCTTTAGGGGAAAGGTATTTCCAAATTCTCTCAGTCCTTCTTCAGAGTTGAAGGACGAGCCCTGACCCTGAACCTGACCTTGACCCTGGCCTCGATTCCCAGTCCCAGTTTGGTTCAAGCACTTTGTGGTTTAACGCCCAACACTTTCCCGTCTCCATTTTCATACCACCACCAGCAACCACAGCGGGCCCAAAGTCCCTGGGTGGAACTCTCAGGTAACAGTATTGCTTTCTTTTCTTTGCATTTAGTTTTGAGGTTTCCTTTTACTTATGACACATGATAACCAGATTTCCTTTTTTGGCAACTCTGTAAAGTTTTTTTTTTTTTTTAACAAATAGATTTAACCAAATAAAAAAGTGATACATAGAAAATTTGAGTTCCTGATAGTTTATATATTTCACAGATTTGACAAAAACCCAGGAAACTGGTTTGGCTTAGGCCTGGGAAACTTAAGTCCTATCTGCTTATGGACACATTGATACATGCGCATCATGATTGCCTCCCAAGTATTTGCAAATGCTTTCAAGGTCTGTATATTTTGGCCGGGTGCAGTGGTGCACACACGTAATCCCAGCAACTCTAGAGACTGAGGCAGGAGGATCATAAGTTTGAGGCTAGCCTCAGCAACTTGGTGGGGTCCTGTCTCAAAAAATAAAAAGGGCTGTGGATTTTTCTCAGTGGTAGGGTACCATGGGTTCAATCTCTGATATCACAAAAAGGTAAGCACATTTTCCCATTTGACTTTTTTCTCAATGTGTTTATATGGTTTTTACCTTTTTTAATCACCTACATTGGCAAACACAGATTTGGCTATCTAACAGATATTCGCTAAATGGTTATCACTGATGATTGACATCTGTACTGTGGGCACCTACTAACCCCAGGCATGGCTATAGGCAATGGCATTGGAAGATGGGTATGGGGTGGGCGCAGGGGTGGGCCCAGCCCAGAGCAAAGCTTATACAGTACAGTCAAGAGGGCAGAAAGGGAGAGGGATGTTGTGATTTGGGTCACAACAGAGAGAGGACAGCCAGTTCTCCCAGAGGTGACAGGTGAGGAAATGGTCAGGACAGGTCCTATGGAGGAAGGGGTGCTTAGCTGGACTTTGCATATAGGTGGCTGGACACCCGAGTGCGTGCGGGGAGAAGTGGCCGAGAGTGTTCTTACAGAGGCATCTCAGTGGTTCTGAGAGCAATCTGGAGTTTGGAGTTGGCCAGGAAGGACGGTGAGATCGGCGGGGGTGGTTGGGGAGGCCTTGTTCTGTGGCGGAGCTGTTTACCCCTCCTCTGGGTGTGAGGGGAGTCACTGAAAAGGGTTCACAGAGGGCTTGACCTTGCTCAGACGTGGCGAGTGAGGAAGATCATTCGGAGGCTCTGTGGGCAATGGGGAGGCCCGGGAGTTCAGGGCCTGCTACCTGGACATCTGGGTAGATGGTGAGGCTTGGATGAGATGGTGCAGGGGAGGAAGAGAGGAGACCACCAGTGTGGGACTTGATTCTCTGCCTTCTCCTCTGCCGGCCTTTCTCAGTCGCTATGGAAATCTAACCAGGTGGGAGACGTGGGCACCATGAACAGACACTGGGTCCCCTGCCTGGCTGCAGTGTTTCTGCACCTTCTCGGGCTGCCCCAGCTCTCCATCTAAACCTCCTGTGGTGTCAGACCTCCAAGAAACTGCCGCTCGCCTCAAATGGCACTTTCATCTGTTCCTTCTCCTTCCCAGTCAGGTAGTGACATGCTCCAAGGAACCGAGCAGAGCGACCGGCCTCATTTCCCTGGCCAGCCCGCCCCTTGCTCCCAGTGCCCCTTCCCCTGCCTAGCAGTTCCTTGCCTTTGTAGCTGCCTTATGTCGAGACCCATCAGCATAAGAGACTATTAATGAGGATGGGAAGAGACGGAGCAAAGAGGAAAAATACCACAATAAGATAAAACAGATCAATAGTGCAGCCAAACAGGGCAGGGGGTTCTGAAAGCAATCCGCAAGCTGTCAGCTGCTCAGCAGACACGGGTTCCGGATGATTCCAGATGGACGCAGAAAGGAGAGAGCTGCACCAAAAGCCAGAGCAGCACACCAGGGCAAAGCGGGAAGCAGCCGTTACCTAGCCAAAACTCGTCCTCCAGGCTCCCGAAACCCACGCGGTAGTCCGCCCACTTCCGGAAAAAATCAGTTTGGCCGTTTTGCCGCCTCTGGAATACCTGTGAAGAGCAAGGGGGACGCGAGAGGGGGGAGATGATCAGGAAAAGCGACGGCGAATAAAATTGAATAAATTGGTGCAACTGGGTCCCGTATGGACAATGGCGAAGATGCCCAGATAAGGTAGGTTTCAGAACAGAGCTCAGGATCCACACTGCAGCTTTTGGAAGAAATGCTCACAACACTTCCTTGCAGCACAGAGGCCCCTGGTGACTAGGCTGTGGGGTGACATTGATGCCAATTTGCACCCCTTACAATGCAGAAAGGATCCAGGACACTTATCAAGCTCTCAAATAGTCAGGGGAAATAGGTCTGACTCTCAAATTAATCTTTTGTATCACAGAGTGTGGTAGAAAGCATTTCTCTCCACAGGAACAGAAGCAGCTTCAAATCATCTGGTAACTGTCATCGTCTTATTGCAGGCAAAGCAACCGCATATCATTCACATCCTGAGCTGTTTAAGTGCTAATTTCATTTAACCTCCAATACATCAGCCTCGGCTTCAATTTCCAATTATGCTTTAAGAAGGAGGCACAAATATGTCAGAAACATAAAAGAAAAGGCCTCCCGAGAGTGGCTGTTAGGAGCATAGTCACCATTTCTCTCTATTCAAAAACCACCCATTTTGCGCCCTGAGGATCTGGCACTGTGCGTCAGCGGCGCTGGTGGGGGACGCGCAGCGGGTGGAGGGGAGGCCATTTCCATCTTGCACCAGGCAGCTACTGCTCCATCTGCATGGTGGCCTGTCTGGAGAGGTGACCATGAGGGAGGCCCCCGCTTTCCTTCAGCTCTGTACTGGCCTGTTAGCCGTGGGAGGGGGCCGTGACAGTAAGTGGTGCTCTCTGAGGGCTGTGATGATAGCTCTGGGAGAGAACCAGCATCCGGAGAAGGAGGAGGACAGGGAAGGCCCTTGGAGGTGGCCATCCAAGTTCTGCCCCTCATTTGCCCCCACCCCCCAGTGTGACCCTCCGAGAGAAGGGACCTTACTGCCTGGCCAGGGAGGCTCCTCTTATACAGAGGGGATCCTCCTCTGTGCTTTATTACAGCTGCAGCCCCCCTGCAGGCAGGTTTCTGGGCTCTGGTCCTGACCCCTCTCCCCAGCACCCTCCTGCATGCGCTCTCCTTGCAAAAGGGACAGGAGGGAAGGCAGTCATCCTGGCCCTTCCTCAGGCCTTGTCACTGCAGCCTGGGTATGCTGATCCTCATCTCTGCCTGGCTAAATCTCCCACTGGGCTGCTGAACACGGAGGTGTGGGTGAAAGAATGGCCAGATGGATAGTGACGCTGGGCCAACAGAGGCTGAGCTAGGCAGATTGCGACACCAAGGACATCTGCATGCAAGGAGAGCAGCTGTGTGTACTTACGATCCAGCCACCGCCGTCTGTGGTCATGTCGCAGTACACCGGCAACTTCTGGCTCAGCTCCCCGTTGAGAAAGATGGTGTACACTCCGCTCAGAGCGTCTCCGTTCATCAGATGTTGGGCACAGTCTTGAGGGTGAGAGAATACTCGGCCCCCTGCACAATAAAAGAGGCAATTTCCAGAAAAGATCCTTTCTCCCACTATGTCCAAGAGCCCCCGGCCCCAGAAGGTTTCAAAGGACCTCAGGGTTGGAATTTTATCCAGAGCTGTAAGAAATCCGCAGTGGATTTGAGCTGTGTGGGCACCGAGCCCCGTGCCATTTTGCCTTCCTCTTCTTCACCTGACACTGGATTCTTCAGACAATAGATTTTAGGGATCTGAGGATGAAAGTGTTGGCTTCACTGTCTGGCTTCTCCATATACCTAGCTGTTTGGATGTCAGCAAATGGCCTGACTTCCCTGAGATCAAATTCTTCATCAGTAAAATGGGGGCAGTGAAGATCTCCCGCCTTGTGGAGTGAAGACATGTTAATGCAGTTGTTTGTGATCGGTTACTTGGGAGATTATCGCAGATGCACGAGGCAATAAATCACCATGGGGTCCACCTTTCAAAAGGGCAAAAGGGATCTAAGCAAAGCTTCCGTCATTTTCATAGCAGCCATTAAGGAATGCCCAAACAAGCTCAGCATTAGCAAGAAGATGGATATCTATTCCTTGCACAAAATAATCTCCTGATTGTACTAAACAAGCAAACGGCCATGTTTTACAGTTCAGTTTAAGTTTAAGGAGAGGGCAGGGAAAGTAAATTGCAGCTCATCTTTCAGAGAGAACAGCCCAATTTGTAGAACAATATCTAATTAGCTGAAAGAGAAGCTTAAATCATGTGTCTTAGAGACTTTAGCTTTGGAACAAATTTTAGTGCTTAGCTGGCAAATCAAGAAGCCCACTGCAGGAGCCTTCTGGATTGCAGGGGCTGACAGAGCAAGTTAAAGGCACAGCTAGCCTTGCCAGGAAGGGTGGTTTGGGTGCTCTGTAAATACAGTGATCTTCTGGGCTAGTGATGGGCTTTCTCAAACTGTAGCAGCCCTGGAGCGGCTGGGGAGGGCTTCACAGGTCAGTTACTACAGTGCCTCCTAGTGGTAGAACTAGTATACCACAGGTGTGACATCCTACCACCTGGAAAGCTAGATGGTAGGTAATAGACAGCATGTCTCAGAAGGAAGGTGACTCAGCAACCTCACCCAAACCTCTGTCATCTAAAGCCCCATCTGAGATTATCAGGAAGATCATTAGGAAGACTGCTGGAGTTTGGTGGCCTGCATCAAGGCCCCTCTGAAGATGCACTCATGCCCAGCACAAGGACTGGCTGCAGGTTACTGTCCAACAGTGTGGACACTGTCACAGCACTGTTCAGGGCATCCCCACTACCAACTTCAGGTGTGGCCACACCAGGGAACAGCACTCTGTTTCTATAAGTTTAGCATGTGCTTTTCCAATTTCCATTTCATTCTTGTGAGAAACTGGGGAGGAAGGCAGAGGGGTAGAGTCGAGAGGCTCACTTTATAGACAAGGAAAGCATGCTCCGAAGGATCGCATGGCTTACTCAGGCCACTCGAACACAAGTGTTCAGACCCCCAAGTCGAGCACTCTTTGGATGCTACTAAAACGGGAAGCAAAGCGGATGCTGTAATTGGCAGGAGCTCAACATCTCCACTATCATATAAAACCTCAAAGTTTAAAGCTGCCTCAAAAGATTCTATGCTTAAATTAAATCTTTACTCCTTAAAACTGATTTCCTTAATAGCTGCAGGAAACCTGTTAGTGTTCATCTCCAGTGTGTCAGGTCTCTGAAGTTCTTGATCCCACCCATTTCTCAAGGCTACAGTTCCACTGCAGGGGACAGTTGCAAGTGGCTGCTGTCCCCTCTCCCTCTGCCTTGGGATCACTGTTATTGCGTTTAGGCTTTTGGGCTGTTCTTGACCTGGGTCTCTGCAGCAACTGGCATGTCTGCCTTCCTCTCGCCCCTTATAGCTCACTGACGGAATTTCTCATTTTAGAAGATCAACACACAATATTCTTGGCCTTCACCTTACACCTGCCTTATGCAATAATAGTCCTTTCCCATGAAGGATGGTTTCATCATTAAATAAGCTCCTTCTCCTTCTCCTTCTCCTTCTTCTTCTTCAAATTTAACCTGGAGGTGCTTTACCACTGAGCCACATTTCCAGCCCTTTTTATTTTTCATTTTGAGACAAGGTCTCAGTAAGTTGTTTAGGAACTTGTTAGGTTGCTGAGGCTGGCTTTGAACTTGTGATCCTCTTGCTTCAGCCTCCAGAGTCACTGGGTTTACAGGTGTGTGCCACCATGCCTCTTTGGATTAGGTTTTTTCAAGTTTGAAAGAAGAATAAAATCTCTTTGCCTGTAGGTATATGCCTTGAGGGAGCTGGTCCCCAGATAAAAGTGTCCAACGAATGACAAATTTTAGATGGGAAAAGGGCTCCAGATTGTGCCTCTGGAGAGGAAGGACAGACTGTGCTTTCTTTCTTCTGAGACCCCTGTGTTAAGTGGTTGGCGGAGGCACTCACCAAATACACGTGAGACTGATGCTTAGCTGCTGGGTGCACTTGCCTTACCCTGGACAAATTGCAAGGCCATTTGTTTGTTTATAGGTTCAATTTACTGTGATTTAGTCTGTGGCAATAGTAGAAGGACAATCAAAAAATGTTTTGCTTTTACAAACTGTCAGGAGCAGCAACCTGGGGTTTCCACATCCTGGGAACTTGGGGAGACACAGCTGTCCACAAAACCATCTCTCCAGCCCCACCCAGCCTTCCACACTGCCCATGTCTTGCTTTGTACTCACCATCCTTGACCAAATTATGATTCCTTTTCACCAGATAAGAGAAACTTCATCAGTGGTTTCTCAAATTGAGGACTTCATTAAAATCCAGATTTTGTGTTCCATTACAGATCTACTAAACCAGCATGTCAAGGGCTAGTCCCGAATCAGGTCTTTCCAAAGCTCCTTGATGAGCCTGAAGACAAGCTGGGTTTGAAATGCACTATTTAGGTTGTCTGTTTTCTTCTTCTCCTCGGAGAGGCCAAGAGGTGGAGTTGGTAGACACACAGGGTGCCTGGGGCCTGTCTCCCTGCCTAGATCTGGTAGATAACGGAAGGAGTCCTCTTTGCTTCTCACCCTTTCCTTCCCATTCTCGTCCCCAGATGGTATGTGCCCCGAGTGGGCTGCTGGTCCCAAGATCTGGACTGGATATGGTGGGAAGGACAGGGGACCAGAGGTTCTGGTTAGCCTTGTGTTTGATCCTCATGTCCTGGATCCTACCCCTTCTTTCTGCTCAGGGTCGCTGGACCTTTAGTCAGCTAATAATTGAGAACATAATAATTCCCTGGTTCCATGAGCATGTTGCTGGGCCTTCATCCATTTTAGGAGTCTGTCAGGGTCGACTTCCATCATTCCTACTTCTCTGTATGTCACTCCATTGAACAACCTTAGAAATTCACCTTTAACCCCCACATACATTATCCCGGTAATTTTTCTAAAGGTAGAAATTTTAGTACCAAGAGTGGATCTGGGAGTCTTCTTCCCTTTGGCGCAATAACTTGAGCCTGGCCTGACAGAGAAATTTATTTTTTTATTTTTAGCACAGGCTGTGGCCATGCCCAAGTTGAGAGGAAGCAGCACCAAGCGGCCAGTCCACTGACATGCCTCATGGTTAAGTGTTTCTAGATGTAATTGTGAGATCAGCAGGACCAGGGCACTTGCTGGAAGAATTGCTCAGAAATTGGTTTGCGTTGGACAGCAGACTGGGCTGAATGCTGAGTGGAAGCCACCATCTACGTGAGGCACAGTGCAATCAGGTGGCCCCCGGCAGCGGGAATGGAAGAGGAGGCTCTCTGTCCCTGTCTTTACTCCTTTTGTGACCTTGGTGCAGGCTTTAAGATGGTCAGATTGAGTAGCTGGGGACAGCACCTGCCGCTGCCCACTCTCCTGGCCTCCTCTTCAGGACTGAAGCTGTGACATCTGTGTCTTCCCTTGGAACAGCCTCAACAGGTTTCTCTGTAAATGCAGAACAAAGTGTGTGGCTCACCAGTTCTCCACCAAATTGTTATTCCTTTTCACCAGCAGCGAAGTGACCTCGTCGACCAGCACTTTGATTTTTTTCTCTAGAAGTGAGTTTGCCGTTGACTCTCACCGGGTCCCCCCATGTTAAAATTAATGACCCACATTTGTCAAGTAGTTCGCTAGACTCTTGGGGGCAGCCAGAGACCATGGACGGGGCAAGGTGACCAGATCAGCCTGTGTGAACTGCATCTATTACCTTGGCCTTCTCATGGCATCTTCCAACTCATTTACATGTTCATTCTCTTAAATAAGAAAATCCAACAAACATAGGAAGTATCTCTTAGGTTGTAAATACATAGGAAGTATCTCTTAGGTTGCGAGATGGGAAGGTAAAGAAAAAAGATGCAATTCTACCTTTCTGGTTCTCGCACTCTGGTGGGAGAAACAGACTCTGAGCCCTATGCACTCTAGGATTGAGATCAGCATGGGGTGTGGTAGCAGAGCAGTCAAGGTGGGCGTGCACTGAAGGCAGGGAGAAGCAGGGGCGGGCCTGGGGCGGGGCTTGCCAAGTGCCAATCAGAAAGGCTATCTGTTGTCGACTCAGTCCCACGTTGGTGGAGGGGGTGCTCCAGGCCTGTGGGAGCGCACAGCCCCCGGGGGAAAATGAAGATGCGGCAGGAGACAAAGCGCGAGCTGGGTTGGGTGGATGAAGGGCACCAGAGACCAAGGACAGGGCAGGGGAGGTCAGCAGGGCAGACCGTGCTGTGCAAGGAGTTGAGCTCTCTGCAGAAGGCCACAGGTTGAAGAGTCTCTGATGAACTTTAAGGGTATTTTTAAGAAAGAGCATTCTTGCGCAGTGCTGAGAAGCAATTACATGCGCTCAGGAGGGAGTGGTGGGAACCCAGGGAGAGGGGGCAAAGCTTTTAAGGAGGTATTGGGAGTGGAGAATCAATTGGACAGCAGATCCTATGCTGAGCTGTTGAGAAAGGTCTGGAGCTCTGTGGACCCCTTGCCTCCTACCCTCCCTCACGTGGGGTAGGACTTGTGAATCTTCTCTTCAGGGTTTGGCTGAACC